TTAGTAGATGAGCAACCAAGAAACATGGATTTGTTAGCCCTAGGGTCCAGTTTATCCCTATGTTGTGGTTGAATATGAACATAGCATGTGCATCCAAGGACCTTAAGGTGTGACAGACTAACATCCCTTTCTTTTAACACTTCTATTGGATATTTGAACTCCAAGACTCGACTTGGTAATCTGTTTATGATATATGTAGCTGTCATGACCCCATGGGACCAAAATCTTTTTGGTACATTCATGTGCAACATTAGAGCTCTTGTTTTTTCAAGTAGATCACGATTCTTTCTCTCGGCTAGACCGTTTTGTTGTGGAGTACCAACACAACTGGTTTGATGCAAAATTCCATTACTGCTTAAATATTGTTTCATGAGGTGTGACATATATTCCAAGCCATTATCAGATCTCAAAGTTTGGATTTGGGAATTGAAATGATTTTTGACAGGATTATGAAAGTCTATGAATGCTTCAACGACTTCACTCTTAGATTTCAAAAGATATAACCAAGTAACTCTTGAGAAATCATCTATGAAAGTTACAAAGTACTTATACCCATCAAAAGATTCAAAAAATGGCCCCCATATGTCTGAATGTACAAGTTCAAAAACTTGTTTAGTCTTATTTGAGGATAAACCAAAAGGTAACCTAGTGGCTTTACAAAAATGACAAGTATCACACTGGATCACTTCTTTACACAGATTTGGAAACAATCTTTACAAAATGAGCTCGGAAGGATGAGGTAATCTTTGATGCCACAAGGTTTGATCTTGACTTAGGTTAGACTTGACTTGAAATCCCTTGAGAAATGATGTCTCCTTAGATAGGCAATAGAGACCATTTAAGAAAAAACCTTCAACAATCTTCTTCTTGGTGATATAGTCCTGAAAAATGACAATATAAGGGGAGAAAGTAACTGAACAGTTTAATGCATGTGTGATTTTTCCAACTGAGAGAAGTTGAAAAGGAAATGAAGGAATGTACAAGGCTTTAGACTCTATATTGTCAGACACTAGATGTATTTTTCACATTCCTAACACTTTAGCTCCCTCCCCATTAGCAATTGAAACATGTGAAGGTGTAGAAAGTTTTTTAAAATCACAGAGCTTGTAAACTTGGTTGGTCATGTGATCTGCGGCACCGGAATCTATGACCCACAAACCATGCAATTGATTTATATTTAGAGCAGGTTTGAAAGCTGTCAGTATACCTTGCATGTTGTCTTGAGTGAGCTTTTTCGAGTCAACCAGAAAACCTACAAACTTTCCCAGCATTGTAGTTGAGTTACCATTACCAGAGGTACCAGCTTCATCACTCCCAGATATTTCCTTCTTTAGTTGAAGGAACACAGCGAACTCATTTATTGTAACAACCCGTCTTGGGATTTACGTAAGAAAATGGGTATTTTTGTATTTTCACTAAGTTTGGGGGATTTACATTGTTTTTGAGTCTTAATTGGTGAGCCCAAGGGGCCCACCCCCTGTTTTGTTCCCCGGTTCTCTTTCTCTTTCCCTTTCCCTTTCTTTTATTTCTTCTAAAAAGTCTCTCTTCTCTCTTCTCTCTTTCTTCCTCTGTGATTTCTCCATCCCCCCTCGCAGTGTTATTTTCTCCGACAATAACGCGCACACACACACACCCGTGCCCACACCTCATCAACGACGACAGCATCACCATCTTCACCATGTCAACTTTCTCCCTCTCTTCGTCTCTGTGGAGCACAGAGGAACTCGGACGAGTTCCTCGTCCTTCCATTTTGGGTAAGCCTCAAAACACTCCAAATGCTTCTTTTTTCATCCTTATAATTCTTTTATGACCCTGTGGTTGTGTTTTGGACGTCAAACCATGAAGAAACCACCTCAGAGACATTTCCCTGTTTTCCGGCGAGCACCGCCCTTTTTGAGGAAATTTCCAGCCAAACCACGGCGAGTTGGCCGGCGTGCAAGGTATCAATCTCTTTGTCTCACTGAGTACTACAACTTTCCTTTTTGTTTCACCCAATTTCATTGAGTATTGAAGAAGTTATACTCATTTGAATCTTACCCAGTTTTCGACGAACACCCGTGGCTTCCGGGCTGTTTTCCAGCCAACTCCGGCCACTATGACGAGAACCAAGGGTATATTTCGATTCCTTACCTTCGGGGCTTCAATTTGGTATATTGAATGACATGTTGTGGTTGAGTTTTGAGCTCCATCGGAGCTTGGGAATTCTTTGGCCGAAATCCGGCCTTCTCCTTCCTTGGAATCCGGTGAACCACCAAACCCAAGGCCTTTGGGCCTTTCCTGCCAAGCCCAAAACCCTAGGCAGCCCAACCCAACCTTTTTAATTTTTTACTTTTTTATTTATTAATTTAAAGGCCTTTGGGCCGTTTCCTTTAGGGGCCTTCAGCCCGTTAACCCTAAACCCATTAAACCCAAACCCGGATCCAACCCAAGTCCAAACCCTTTAACCCAATCCGGATCCAAGCCCAGACCCATTTAACCTGTTGACCCGGACCCGGACCCGGTCTGACTGTTGACCCGGTCAACGGTCAGCGTTGACTTTGACCAGTCAACGGTCAACGTTGACTTTGACCGTTGACTTTTTGGGTTTTCGTGCGGGACCCCTCCTAGGCTAATTTCGACGTCCTGAACCCGTTTCAGATGTCTATTTTCCCAAATTCAGTCGTTTGAGTAGAGTTTGACTAAGTGTACCCTTTATGTGCTTATGGGTGTTCATCTGTGGCGTTTCCTTCTTCGCTAGATGGCGTGGCTTTTCGACGACGAAGGACTATGAGTGGACCCCTTCTAAAAATGCATGTTTTGATAGTATAAATGCATACATGAAAAGCATGATTTGATGATTATGTTTTATGAAACGTTTTAGAGATAACATGCTTACTGAAGCTAGTTTGAATTATTACTATTTTTCCTATAACCCATGTTCTTATAGAATATCTGATGGATGACGATATGATATTTAGAACATGTTTAGAACACCTCTTTATAGTATAGATGATGCATGACTTTATACTATGAAGTTGATTTTCAATATATGTATGTTCACTGGTTTTGTACTTACCTAGTGATCCTTTCCGCTACGGGACGTAGGGATAGATCCGGTCCATCCCGGGCGACGGTTTGGTGTTGGCATAGGGCCTGGAGTGTGTTTCCTCTGGCTATTTAGCGCAGGGACGGGGAGTTGGCATGGGGCCTGAAGTGTATTTTCCTCTGACTGTCTGCTCAGAGACGGGGAGCCGGCATGGGGCCTGGAGAGTTGTATCGAACATTCACTAGTGTTTATTATTTATGCGAATTATGATTTGAGACATTGCACGACATGCTAGGTTTCGGAAAACCTATGTTTATAATAATATATGTGTTTTCATAAAACCTGCGGGTTAGTATGTTGATAATTGTTTTTTATATATATATATCAACTTGGTCCACTCATGTTTGTTTTGCGCCCCCTTCAGGACTTAGAATCGAGGCATACAATCCCGACGTCCAAGCACTTCCGCTTCGGCATCTTCGAGTCCTCGTGGTGTAGGACCCACTCCTTTGTTTCATTCAAGTTTATATTATTTTCTTTTAGTGTACTAGATTAGAGATGTGCTCTGAACACGGTCCTTATTTGCATATTAATTATTCTTTTATATTTATAAGTCTTATTTATCCCTTGTTTTCAGCATTTGCACTCAATAAATGGCTTTTGTCACCTTCGGGTGTCGGCCGACATGTACCTATCCTGGTATTCGGGGAATATCGGGGTCGAGGCGTGTCATTTATAAGTGCGGTGGAATTGGAGGTAAAATTCAGGAGATCCTCTGAGCCTCTAGTTGACAAGGATGAGGCATGATTAGCTTTATAACTGGGAAACGGAAGCTTCTTCTGAATAAACCTTTCGTTCTTCATGAAGTATGGTTTGAGCTCAGGGTGGAGAATCCATCAAGTGTCCCTCACATGTCCGGTGGCATCACAATGTTTGCATTTGAGATAAGGATTTCTTCCCTTGTACTTATCATCACTGGAGAAGTGTTTCTTTTCACTGGAAAAGTAAGCCCTAACTTTCGAGGCAGTTGTTGAGGTACCGGGGTTCATAACCTTTTTTCTCACTTCTTCCCTTTGAATTGTTGCACAAACATTTGCAAAGGTGGGGAGCTCTGGATTCATGAGAATATGGCTATTCAGATCTTTATATTCTGACCCCAAACTAGTGAGAAGCTGGAAGATTTTGTTTTCTTCAACCTTTTCAAGAAGCAGGTTTGAGTCCGTTGTATGTGGACGGAATACCTCCAACTCATTCCACATACCTTTTAGACTTCCAAGTAGCTGAACAAAAGGTTTTCCATCTTGTTGCATGCTCACGATATCTCTTTTAAGTTGAAACACACGGGCTGCATTATTCTGATTTCCATACATCTCTTGCACGGACTTCCACAACTGAAAGGATGACTCAGAGTAGCTGAATATCTCAGCTATCTTTCTCTTCATGCAATTGAGGAGCCAGGATATGACCAACTGATCCTTGCTAAGCCAAGATTCATGAGTGGTAGAGGAAGCATCAGGAGCTTCAATACTTCCGTTTATGAACCCTAGCTTTGATCTTCCTCCTAGGGCAAGTGAAACTGCCCTCGACCATGGTAAGTAGTTGAACTTGTTTAGAAGCACAAAACTCAACCTTTGATTTGGATTTACATCAATCTCCGGTTGATTTTTATGACTGGCTCCAAGTGAGCTATCAGTGTCGGACTCAAGGATGGGGTTTCATCAACCATGAAAGAAAGCTTGAAGAATAAAGTAACGAGTATCATAAGGACATGTTATTCCTCCTCTGATACCATGTTGAGTACAAGATATATAGGGCAAGGTGTGATCAACACACTGATCACCCTTGAATCACTCCTACACGACAGCTCCATAAAAAGCAGAAAGAAGGTAAGGCAAAAGGCTTCTAACCACCCTAGAAGTATGGGAAAGAAGATACAAGATCTAACTAGAAATAAGGTGACAACTGCACCCATATCGTCTACCTAACCAATAGCTCCGGATACCCACTCTTGACTTTTATTAGACGATATGGGGTGACAGATGCTGCATATGGAATACTCACTCTTGACTTTCAATAAATGGTGGTACAAAGAAAAAGACAGAAAAGAAAATAAAATCATGAGATATGTACTACTTACTGTTGAAATTCTATGTTAACGAATGTAGCGGAAGAGTTGGCGATTGCAGCAAATGCAGTAGTAGAGAGAACTATGGTAGCATCACTTCTTGAAGGTCGGGACACCGAAGAGAGTGCACGATCCACAATCTTTACCTGAATCGTGTTCCCTGGAACGCAGGTTCCTCGCACGGGAGCGCTAATGCACCTCACCTGATATTGCCTTCCACAAGCTGCACCATTGTCCCAAATTCCCTCGCCAACGGACGCGAACAGGTTGCCCGGAGGAAACTGTCCCTGGTCACTTCCACCACAGGCGGTAGCTATATGCATGGAAGGTATTAATTAGTATGGATATGTTAACAAAAACAAAATTGTTATTTTAGACACACAAAACTGATAAACTATGTAATAGGTGTGCCTTAGCATCTGTATTTAGGATCACCTGTATAAGATTGTGTATAAGGTTTTGCATGTCTTCATAGCATTACTCTATGCAGCCATAGTCTGGAATTTATGTATATCTTCACAATTTTTTGCTAAAAAATCGTTTTCGGATGTTCTTAAGTTCGTTTGGTCATAATTTTGAGATATTCTGTTTAGCGTTTCTTTACTTTCAGAATTTAGACCCTCGACATTTCCATAATCCAACAAAGTGTTCAAGAAAATAAAGCGAAAATCCAAAAACATAAAGAAAGAAAGAAAGAATTTAAGATGCACGAGAGTAAAATTTATGCAGAATTTACGTAAATAAGGGGGCCTGTACTGAGCGGCAGTGCCAACGTCAGCCTGAGAGGAATGAAAGAGCGCTTCGGATAAGAAGATCAGAAGCAGGCATGGAAGAGAACTCTGAGGCTTAGACATTTGCCTGATCAAAAAATAAGGAAAATTAATCAGAGGGAACTAGTTAATTATATGAAATATAATTATAAAGGTACAATATAATTAATTGCATATTCTTTTCTAGAAATTTGTAAGGATTCATTCAAAGTCAAAAGTCTGAAAATTAGGTTAATTTTAGCTTAAGGTGTATGACAGTTTTCTGTTAGCTCAGAGTAGGACACCAATAAGGGTTTCAAGATCAGTTTGAAAATGTATAATATGGCTAAGCAAGTAAAAACAGCTGAAAGTGAAAACACAAACACAGGTAAAAACAAAAATGGGCAGAAAGCAAGATATACTGATTAGTTCATTATTAAAATCGAATTAGTTTCAACTAATTTGTTTGCTACAGTACTTGAGGAGGGCTGAGAAGGGCCAGAGTTTAATGGCTCAGGTGGGCTTAATTATATATTAAGGAGGGTATAGTTAATTTGGATTTCAGATGATTTTAACAGACTTTATTAAGTGATAGATTTCAAAGGATATTAATGGACTTTTCAATCCTATATCGATTTTCATTATAGATTTCAATTGATTTGTGTAGATTTTGATTATGGATTTCTGTTTGGGCCCAAAATAATATTGTTGGGCCGAGCAGCAAGTTGTGCTCGGCCCAAGGCTGTGTCAAATGCTATGGGCCGAGTGATAAATCCCGGGCCAGTTGGCAGGGTCGGTCGAGTCCTATCCTAAGAAGTAGTCCAGATAAACAGAAAGGGTCGAGGAAGTCCTGGTGCGACCAGGATTCCCGGCATGCAAAGAATAAAGCCTCGGAAGAGGGGAAAGTTCAAAGTCCTAGTGGGAGTAGGTATGTTCGAAGTAGAGTTGGAACGGGACAAGGACTCCCAATCCAGATAAGGATGCAATTCGGTCTCAAGGAATGGGGTGCTATAAATACAAGAAATCATGCAACAAAAAAGGACCTTCAATTCAGCATACAATTGCCCTGCGCAAAACCTCTCAAATACCTTGAGATTTTTCCTTTCCTTTTTCTGCCGACACACCTTCAGTTTGGATAAACAACACTGTGAAGGCACCCGGCGAACACCTTCAGTTTGGATAAACAGCATTGTTGCCGCAGAATCAGCCGACCGAGAAGCACCTTCAGTTTGGATAAATAGCATTGCGTCAAGGCCGACCGGTTATCTATCTAAGTCTCGGCCGAGAAGGGTTTTCGTACCCTTGTTGGTAGAGGTCACCTTGCTAGCCTTCTCGGCGTAGCCAGGTGTTACGAATTGCGTTACTCAGCGTACTAGACGCCAAGTGATTTTATGATTGGATACTCACAAGTGAGTTTCAGAGTTCGGCATTCCGACGGCCGAACTACATTCACCATCAAGACATACATCACATTTGAGTACCTGTGTCCATATAGTTTGATCTCGATTCGACGTGCTTATACTCTTACGAATATTATCACAGTGACCGAATCGGGCTCCGACGATTTGTGAACTTCGCAGAATTAGTAGCCTTGTCTTCAGGCTCTAGAACCCAAAGACCGAGAGTGTTCCTTCCTCGGTCACAGACTTAGGATAAAGAAGTCAACAACGCGCTCAACGCGACATCAACGAATTTTACTCCTCGGTCGAGCTCGGCCGACGAGTTGGCACGCCCCGCATTCAACCAAAGGACGTAGTTAGCTTATTAGTTACTCGGCCTGCGCGCCACGTAGGTTTTGTAATTTTTAGAGTCAACATTTTGGCACGCCCAGTGGGACCATTGTGCTAAACCTTCGGAGTTCATGACCATTGAGACACAGTCTGTAAAGAAGAAAACAATCATGGGAAAGTCAACAGCTGACTTACCAGTGCAAGGCCTTGGGCAGGATTTACACCCTGCAAAAAATCCGATCATTATTACGCCGCCCGAGGCCACAAGCGCGACACGCCGAGAGAATGAAATCTATCTCGGCGGACAACCTCGCAACTTAGAAGTCCCTAACCAAACAACAGGCATGTTTGTCGAAGGAATAGTGGAAGATTGCGACGACAATGGTGGGGAGGGTTCTGATCCACCAACTAGGTCGTTTCTTCAGAGACGACTTGATGAACAGTATCGACAGGTCGAGCAGTCGATTGGTTAAAAGATGAATGATTTACTGGATGCAATATGAAGTAACAACGACACACAAGCCAGGATGCTTGAACTGTTGGTTAGTAAAGCCTTCGAAGATGGCCAGGTCGGCCAGCCTCGGCAGCTTTCTACGAATGTTCTAATACAAGCCGAGAAAGGGTCCGCCCGGCCACAACCAATTACCTTAGATAAAAGAGGTGGACCGGGCAATAGATCTGAGGGACCAAGCCAGGGAGAAGAAGCCGCCTCCGTAAACATGACCGAAGTCCAGAGAATGATTGACTCGGCCGTAAAGAAGGGCTCGAAGTTTCCAAAATTCATCCATCCATACCCGGCTTATGTAGAAAGGTTTGAATACCTGCGAGGTTTTAAGATCCCTGATTTCAGTCTCTTCGCCGGGGAATCGTCTTTATCCTTATTAGAATATGTGGCTCGGTTCACAGCGTAGTGTGGAGACGTCAATCGTGACTTCTATAAATTACGGCTGTTTAATTTTTCACTGACAGGCTCAACTTTCACTTGGTACATTAATCTCCCACCAAACTCCGTGCAGAGTTGGGAAGAGTTAGTCGAGAAGTTCCATGAACAATTCTATCGGCCAGGGATGGAAATGTTCGTATCATCGTTGGCCAGGATGGCTCAAGCGTCCAACGAATCTCCAATGGAATACTAACAAGGTTTAAGTCGGCCAGGAATTGGTGCCGAGTACCTCTCCCCGAAGTGGAATTCGTCAGGATCGCCCTCAACGGAATGGACGTGGAATACAAAAAGAAGTTTCTGGGGGCAAATATTCGAGATATGTATGAACTTGCTCAACACGTTGAACAGTATGATTATCTGCTCCGAGAAGAAAAGATATCGAAGTCACCATCCCGGGGGACGTTGTATAAGAATCCCACGGTTAGCTATGCATTGGCCGAAAGCGAGGACCCTTAGTATGCTAGTGTGGATGCGGCCGAGATAGTAATAAATAAACCTTACGTCTGCAAGGTTTTAGCTCAAGTGAGTTCCAAAGACACCAAGACCCGTTCGGCCACCGAGGAGATGAGTAAATCATCGAAAGTATACACTTTCGATATCACCAAAACCGATGCAATTTTCAATCAATTATTGGCAGCAAAAATCATCAAGCTTCGGCCGGGGCATACTATCCCTAAGGCCGATGAATTGAAGGGCAAGATATACTGCAAGTATCATAATTCTAATAAGCATGCAACCAATAATTGTGTTGTGTTCTGAGACACAATTCAAAGTTGGATCGAGAAAGGAAAGTTGAAATTCCCGGAAAAGCAGATGGCGGTCGACGTCAATCCCTTCCCTTAAACAACAATTGGTATGGTGGATGCTCATCTTCCTAAAAACAAAGGGAAGGCCGAATACGTCCCGGTGCAGCATATCCGTAAACGGAATGGTCAAACAAGACTAAAGATTGATTTATTTTCAAATGCACCACCTACGGAATGCTCGGGGCCACCCATCGATGAGTCTATGACGGGGTCGAGTTCCGACGAAACTCATGAATCAAGGGTTTTATGCGACCATTGTAAAACACCAGTCGAACCTGGGAAGAAGACATCTTCGACACCATCCACGACCCCTACAACATCGCCAAGGGGACTTGGTGACGGTCCACAACGCCAAGTGTTTGATAGACTCGGCCCACAGGTACGGCCAAAAGACCAGGCCCCGGTTAGGCGGCGTCTTGACTTCGATGTACCTTTCTATAATGAGGATTATTACTCGCGCAATACCAGCAGTTCGGGCTCACCAGCCGATCGAAAAACTTTTAAACCACCCAGGACATCGGATCAACGCTGGTACATTTACAATTCTCCGACTGGCCTATATACGGCGTTGTCTAAATCTCAAAAACGTCGTCGCCAACGGATAGATTGAACAGCCAACCCCGACTATCATGACCGAGTTAGTCGAAGGGAGAAAAGTAGCGGCTCTCGACTTTGAGACCCCTATTGAAGAGTCTGAGAAATGTATCAAGCTTCTTCTTCAGTCTGAGAAACGTTCATCAAAATACGACGTAATCTACACCCTCCATTCCTCGGTGACTCCTTAGAGTACATGCGAGAGTTTCATAAGAAATATTCCGCCAATGACTTGTACGGACTACCAAGGTATGTCAGGAAGCCCTCGACCTAGCACTAACTTGCCCTGATGCTGAGCAAATTATTCAGAAAACTTCCGACCCAGCGATAAAGGCTAGATTCCAACATATACTGGAGGCTCGGGTCCCCTGTTTTGAGGACGATCCTTACACAGATATTGACGCCAACGAATTACCCTTTTCACTCGAAGACCTTCAGCATTTGCGCTATCATTTTGAAGTTTTCTCGGCTGTATCTTTCTTCGGCCTCACAGCCGACGAGGAAAAAAGGATAGCACGGTTGGATACATATCTAGACACGAGGAACGCCCGTATCGCCTATGAAGAACGAGCTCGTGTAACGCAGGACCAAAATAAATCTTCGGCAGTAAACATAGTCGAGGAAAACAGCCAAAATAAGCTAGACTCGGTCAAATCGCCTCAGATGCCGGTTCACACCAAGGCACTCCAAAGTTCGATTGAGGATGTTCCGCCGATCGATACTATGGTTACTTCTGCGGAAAACGACGACCACGATCCAATGGGTCCCTCTGTCCTCGAACATATGGAGATCAGTATGGTCCACGTCCTACCAGCTGAGTTCCAACCAAGTACCTACTAGTCAAATTTCTTGGATGGGGACGTGGTTGCTGAGGAAGCAACATAAGTGGATTTCGTCGCAAACGACGACGATAGGGAAGTCCGAAACGGGGACAACCTTAAGGCGGCTTTGGCCGAATTATTTCCCCGTTCCTCCTCGGTTAATCTCCAACACCTCAAGCCGTTATACGTCACGGCTCACATCGAAGGATTTTCTATTTCTAAAGTGTTTGTCGACTGTGGAGCCACAGTCAACATTATGCCGATGTCCGTCATGAAGGCCTTACGCCGTTCTGATAACGAGCTCATCCCATCAGGTATCACTATGAGCAGCTTCATCGGCGACAAGTCTCAGACCAAATGAGTGCTCCCGTTGGAAGTCAGCATTGCCAGTCGTCACCACATGACGACATTCTTTATAATTGACTCCAAGACCAACTATAACGCATTACTTGGCCGCG